TTTAGCTAACCTAGCTTCTCCAATGTAAACTTTGTTTAATACAGGGGACACCAATTTTTGTGGGAAAGGGGAAAGAGAACTAAGTGCATGTATGGAACACTCATCACAGGTATTGTTAAATTAAAAGCTGAATGGCATATGTATGTCACTGATTGGTATATAACGCAGGTCCCAAATTTCTCCTCAGAATATATAACTATATTGTAGGTACTTGTGCTTAGCTCTCAACAGCTGCTGCAAAATTAAATAGACATTTACTCCGTCATAAAAGCCACATTTTAAAATACATGGAAAGTAATGTTATTTAATTATATTGCAATTTTATTTGCCTTTATTAATGCCCTGGTCCTGGTTCACTTTTTGAAGTACTGCCCTGAGCACACTATTTAAAAACAAGCTGTAATCTTTGGCCCCCAAAGTTTGTGCATCCCTGAAATAAAATTGAGGGAAAATATCTTTAAAAGAAAAAATGGTGTTTTAAAAGAAAAATCAAAGTAAAAGTACATATTTTTCAATTCATAATACAAATTGTTAAAGCAGCTTGCAATTTACAGTGAAAATATTTTGTTTCATTCTATTCCTGCTTGACAGCCCTATGCAATAATTAAAACAAAAGCGTACTCATATCACAGGTGAATCAAGAGATTCATCAATCAAGCATCCTTTAGTTTATGAGGTCTGGCATTCGTATAGTTAAAATTTATATTCTGCTCTGATTATGTGTACTGAAGCATCCTTATATTCATGCTGTTACAAGATAAAAGTTCTAGCAGTGGCAAATTTATCCTGCACCCTTCCAGACCACAAAGAGTAAAAGAACTGAAAGTCCTACTTCATTGGTTCTTCAAAAATGCTGAATATTTTTCACGATAGAAGGGTTTTTCTGCTTTCAAAAGTAATTGTTAATGTAACTACTTAATCTCTGATTCATCAAATCTCATGTTGCCTGCTTATGTTTGAAGCTGAAGATTGCACCTGAGGTCTCAAGCCTTTGAAAGGTCAAAACACGTAACAGCCTGCATTAATGGATCACAAGTGGCGGAGGCTTAAATAAACCAAGAAAACATACAAATTTGATGTAGCAGTTGGACAGTTAACCCATCTTACAATAAATTAAAGCTTTAGGAGAAACTTATTAACGGTGAGGACAATTAATCAGTGGAACAAGTTGTTTCAGAAATTGTGGGTGGTCCTTCACTGGAGGTTTTTAAGAAGAGAGTAGACGGTCACTGATCTGAAATAATATAGGTTCTCCTGCTTGAGCTGGACGAGAAGACCTCCAAGATCCCTTCCAGCTCTATTCTATTCTACTTTACTTTATTCTGCCTCTGCAATGACTACTACAGTACATTCTTTTAATACTAATATTTTAAATAACATTTAAAAAAAATGTTACGTTGGAAATTTTACGTTGGAAAAATACCAACACTAAAGAAACATGTATTATTGGAAACTGTCAATGCTTAATTGAACATACCAAGAAAGAAAAGTGGGAACTTAAAGTAAGCAAAAATCAGGCAGTAAGAGGTTTCATAGTGCAAAGGAAGTTTGATCTTCATGTCTTGTTTTTGATTTAGAAAATGTATACTATATGCAACAATCATTGTCTATTTTGTAGAGTTGACAAAAAATATCAATGCAATTAAAAATTGATTAGCTTTGAATAATTTCTCTGGTGTTGCAACACAAATATAATAAAACATAATTTAGATTTCACTAAATGAAAGGTTGTAAATTCAGGACTACCTGCATACAGTACTGTATTCACTTCAATTATTTATTGGAGGCACTGTTTTGATTGTATTAGTTTAAAATTTACAAAATAAATTGGATAATGGAAGTGCAATCCTGTTAATTCTTCTGGATGATTAGGGGTTTTTGTATTAGTTAGCCGAGATATTAGCCCAGATATCTGTCTTGATCATTAGCAAAAGGCAGATCTTTCAGATTATTTAAAATCTGAACCTGTTGGATAAATAATTGGGAACTGCAGAAACAGATGGCACCAATGTATTGATAATACTGGATTGGATACCTTAAAGTTCACTGTACAAGTTTCAACCTTTTCTATACTCAGCTGACCATTATTCCATTCCTGGTAGCATCATATTTAGAAGTTTGTAATACATGTTATATAGCTCTACCATTTAAAGGGTCCCTGGAAGGTTCAATTAATATAAAATGCAACTAGATTTATATAACTGAGATTACAATCCAAAAACAATGGAAAATATGTACTGGTTGGTAATTGTTTTCTGGGTCAATTCAAGATTTAAATCTTTAAAACTCGAATAATCTAGAGTCTGAATAAGAGTATGCTTGTTTTAGGATGAATATGTCAGTTTTAAATGTATAGCAGAACCTCTTTAAAAGGATGCAGAAAAAAATAAATTCCACAAGATGGAATCAAAACACAAGACCAAGTAGTGTTAAAATGCAATTAAACCAGACAATCGTATTGCTTATCTAATAGTCATATTTCCATTCAAAATTCCACAATGTAAGTCCTGCTTGCAAAGAAGTCCCACCCCAAGTATCCAGTAACCCTTCTTCAGAGATCAGCTGAACAAAATGTCCTGTAATGAAGGGCATCAGTTCAATTAGTGCCCTGCATTTACTTTAATCTTCACCGTCACTTCTCAAAGATGGACAGACTGCTGTTTCTCAGCTAGTCATTTCTATCATCTACTGGTAATAGAAATCCAGCACTGTATTTGAAGTGCACCCAGGGAAGGAAGTTATACACACAGCACAAAACAAAGTACGTCCTGCCTACTTTTTTATTTAGTCTTCTTGCACTTGGGTGATAATGGAGCTTACAACTTTTTCCTCTCTGCTATGAAAAAGGTGCCCAGCTTACTGCCTGCCAGTTCTACACTACTGCTTATCCATAGGGAGTTGTTTCTCAGCTGTAGCTTTTTTCTTAACACCCCTCAATTCTAATTGTGTTTTTTGTTTTTAATATTCCGGTGCGCGAAACTCGCCAATTCATATCACTAAACTGAACCACTAACACACCCCCCATCCAATATGGCCACTCCACCAAACAGGACTGAAACACACTCCAACAAATTGTCATTTCGCTCCGCCCTCCCTGTAATCCTATTGGCTCGCTCTGTTCAAAACTCTGCCGCCATTGGACACGCCTGGCGTCGTTCTTACTGACTAGCGGCCTCTCTCAAGTTAGAATGACGCGACATGTAAACAAATCACTTTCTGGATGTTCCAAACTAATCAGAACTCCGCGGACCCACGCCAGCCCCCCCCACCCGCCCCCCCCAAAGCTAACGAGGGGAAGAGATCTGGGCAGCCCTCCGCATCCCAGCATGGCAGTAAAAAAACAAACCATTTTTAAGCTGCAATTTTTTTTTAAACGGGGATAACATACCTGTAGCCCATCAATGCAGGATGGGTGGGGTTTCTTACTCTACTACAAATATTTGTATACTGCCTAGGAGGATCGCAGAGAAGAGGGGTCCGCACGAAAAGGAGGTGAATCTCAAGTACCTCATTTCCCTCCTTAGGGCTACAGCTGAACTTTGCCAACTCCTAGCGTTGCAAGGCATACAAGGATGCCTCACACGCCCCATCCAGTCACATTCAGCCTTTCAAAAATGAAGAGAAAGGCTTTCTCCTTTCCCATCAATGTCTGCTCTGTGTGAAGCACATGTTTTTTTGGGGGGAAGGGGGATCCCACCGCCAATCACTTGGGCTTTCTCCACTCGCAGGGATTACTATACAACCATGAGGGTCGAGCCAGATAACCTTGTTTCACTTTGTTTCCCGTAGATTAAATGGGAAATAAATCTGGGGTGAGCACACCGGGGCGATGAGTGCAAGCCTTCGGCTGTGAACACCATTCTCCGAACACTTGGCTCTCCCACACCATGTCGTCAGCTGAACTCAACAGTGTTTACAAATTTTTCTCATTAACAAAAAAATAAAAAAATAAAAAAAAAATCCGAGACCATATTTTTGTGCTAAGGCAGGCAAACTCTCCTGAAATGTTGAATCGAATCATACCGAATGGACCTCGCAAGACTGGAGCGTGCTCTTTATGTAATAGGTGAGTTTTCCTTCAAATGCCCAACTAGTAAAGGAAACATGCATAAGTCTGCACAAAACAGAATAGCTAGATCTCCTCCTTCTCCCCGCCCCCCCATGCCTCTCCTTCCTACAGTTATAAACGAGTTAAATCCGGGTGTTGGGGTTGTTGGTTTTTTTGGAGGGGGGGGGGAGATTAAAATGAAAACGTTCCTTACAAAAACGAAGCATTAAATTTATTCCAAGGACTCAAATGTCCGAAAAAACGCCTAGCCTAAAGGTTCCCTCCTTCAGTTTACGTGGAAAAGCAGACGAAAAGAAACCTCCGGGCTCCTCTGCAGTCTGAGGAGAAAGGCAAGGAAGCACACGCCCCCTTCCATGTCCCTTTCCACCCACCCAGGGCGAGCGCTCGAAGAACCACGGGCATGCTCTCTGTCCGCCCTACGTGACACTCCCAGGATTGAAAAAATGGGAGGGGGGAAAACCCCCTTTTATCTTAACTTTAAACAAGCGCGGCCCCATTTGCCTAAAAACTATCCCTTCCGCCTATAGTTCTCAATGCGGTGGCCCCAGATCGCCTCTCTTCCCAAGCCACGCTGCGGAGGGACAGCACTTCCACCAAGACGACCTCGACCGCGCCGTTCTCTGCAGCCTCCATCCTTAAAATCGCCCTTCTCCCGCTTCCTCTTCCTCCCGCTGCCCCGGGCAGCAAGGACCCTCGGCGCCTCCTGCCAGAGCCGCCGCATCCTTCCGCCCGCCGAAGGGCTTCCCGGCTCATGCAAGAATCTGCTGGGACCGCCGCTCTGCCCGTCGCCGTCCCCCCACCGCCGCTGCTCTCTTCCGCCCCGACGCGGGGCCACGGAGCCCCCCAAACTTCTCTCTCTCCCTCCCTCCCTCCCCACCTCCTTCTCGGTAGGCGCTTCAACGGCTTCCCATCTCCCTTGGTGGCTCCTCACCTGGGGCCCCGACCCAGCTGGGGGGATAGAGGACGTCTCACTTCTGGTCCCAGCTTCTGCTGGGGCTATAGCTCTGACCCGGCCCCTCCATGCCGCTCTGGGGTTTGTTTTGTTTATGTCCCTTCCTGACGGATTCCCGGAAATCGCGTGACTCGCCCCCATCACGTGGCCTTTAAAAACGGGCAGGGAGGGAGGGGGGAAGGGCGAGCACGGCCTAGTCGAGGCAGAAAGTAAGGCGCCGAGGGCTCCAATCAGAAAGCGCGCGACCGAGGACCAATCAGCAGCCGCAGGTGGTGGTCTCCCCTCCCATGTGACGGATCGAAGGGCGAGGGCGGGGAGTAGGGAAGGTTTCTCGCTCAGCTGACGGGGACGGCGGCGGGAATTCAACGGGGGAGGGAGGGGGAAACAGCTAGCATAGCTTCTAATTGCAAAGTAGTTGCATTGGCCGCTCCTCCGTGGGGCGAGAACCAAAGGGCCCGGTTTTAATCGATCCCAGCTGACTTCTAGTGATCTCTAAATTGTCTCCAGTCTTGCCAGACTCCTGCAGGAGGAGGAGAGTTCCAATCCTGACAACTCTTGGGTGGGATGGGGCTACCGAGGGGATCGCGCAACCTTACTTAATTCAGAATGTCACCCTGGACACCCTGGACACTAATCCTTTAAAATACAGAGACGCTGAAGCGTGCATAGTCCTGCTACTTTGCAGGTGCTTGGTGAGGGTCAGGATGACAGTCCTCAGGGCCTGCTCCTTGTGCAACTATCTTCGACTGCACAAAGTCCTGGCTGCAAGATTGAGTCTCTAGAATGCCTAGCCTATGGGATCTGAACTACAGAAAGCCAATTACTGCTCTGTGGTTACAAAATTGTTTAATTCTAATCTTTAAAAAATCTACAAATAGAGGCACTGTCTTCTCCAAATGATTCTCTAAATCCTATCTTAACATGGGATTGAGTCATTTGTAGTTGACTAAAGTTGTGTTGTATTCAAATACAGGGAGTCCTCAACTTAAAGGCATTTGTTTAGTGACAGTTTGAAGTTACAACAGCACTGAAAAAATGACAACTGGTCCTTATTTACAACATCTCTGCAGTCATGTGACCAAAATCTGGAGACTTGGTAGCTGGCATGTATTTACAATAGTTGCAGCATTCCAGCGTTGTGTGAGCACAATTTGTGACCTTCCCAGATGGCTTCCCATAAGCAAAGTCAACGAGGGAAGCTGGATTCACTTAATGACTGCGTAATTCATTTAACAACTATAGTGAGTCACTTGGCAACTGTAGTCACAAAATCATAAAATTGGGCGCAACTTACTTAACCAACTTTCTAGCCATGGAAATTCTGGTCCCAATTGTAGTAGTAAGTCAAGGATTACCTGTATGTGTAAATAAACATCCAGATGTCAAAATACTGGACCAAAATTTTCTTATTAGGTCTAACAGTATTCTTCAACGTAGTTTGCTCATGTTCATACACGCTAGTGCAAATATCTAGAGATGGGGGGGGGGAAGTATGTACATGTATGTATTCAACCTAGGATTTGGATCACAATTGTCTTCAGAAAGCTTAGTCATTCCCTTGAAGTATTTCCACGAGCATCATATTCTTTTAAAAATGTATCCATGGTTACCATTTACACTGAATTATCTTTTGTACCTGACATAATTTATTAATATTTTCCCTTCAAATTAGATACACACATCATTAAGCTCTGACAAATCAACCATCACCAGGGTTTCTGATCTGACCTAAACAACAATTTTAGCTATTTAATGAATATATCTCTCTACAATATAAATTTCAATATAACAAATACTGGTAACCTCAACTAATTCTATAAATTCCTGACCAAATTCACTTATTTGTAACTTGGACATTATTACACCGGATTTTAGGGCACAGGTTTACGGGTTTCTGCTGTACTTCTCTACAAATCCAATGAAGTTATTCATATTTTCATATCTTATGTTATTTTAGTTAAATCTGAAAAAATAAAATTGAGACGATATTGGACATGAAATCTAGATTTTCGGAATGTGCAGATATATCTGCAAGAGGAAGGATATCATCAATGAAGGAAATGGCCTAGAAAACTGTCACTAAACCGAGAGATATTTGAATAAAACTAATAACATTCTAAAAGTTATGAATTCATAAATGTGATTCAAAATTTATGTTTCTATATATTTATGCAAAAATAACAGCCCAAGTAAAGCCAGTAAAGTAAACAGAATAGAAATTTATTCCAAGTTTGCTTGGTGAGATATAGGGTGTTGTCAATAAACCTAGCCATCGTAGGAATGATGGAACATTTTGTAACACTTGAAATTCAAGCAAAATTTTACAGAAATCAGGTACAAAATACCCTTTAGGCACTTCACGAATATTAAAAAATGTCTGAGTTAAATATTCTTCGTAATAGAACAGAGGCATTAAGGTAGACATGTATTGATTCAAAACAGAGTAAAGCCATCATTCAATCAATGGAACTTTATCATAACCTATAAAGAAAGAAAAAAACAATTTATTTCAGAAGCATTTTAATCCAAAAGTCAAGCAATTATAAGATTCCAGAGGGTGGGACTGATATAAAACTTTAATATTCAAGATATTGCAACAATTCAAATAAAGTTTTACTTTAATATGTAAAAAATATGTATTGAAACACTAGTTTTTGCTTCAATACAATAGCTAATCCTGCTAATAATGCAGCAATATATGAATATTAATTAACAGATACAAGCTGACTGTTCTTTTTTAAAAGAAGCTGTCTAAAATGAAAACTGAACCTAGTGGTAGAATATTAGTTTTGACTAATAAGGCTGAGACCCTAGCTAATCACTCTGTTGGCACTCCCGTACTTCCAATCAAAGTTATTTGGCAAGCACAAATTCACCATAACAAATATGACAAAGATCATTGCTTCATCGTGTAAAGTTTCTCTTTCCAAGGCACAGTATGATCACTGACTTTATGAACTACTAAAAATTTAAATAGGAAATAAATCTACACCCCCAATCCTGAGTCATCACCCAAATTCATTCCATGTCTGATTTGAAAACACTAAAGCTTTGTCTCAAGGGGAAAAAAAGATAATTAAAAGCATAATATCTTTCCTCAGCTTGTTTCCAACAGAGCAAATGATATTTGGGGAAATTAAGAGTTCTGGAAATAAAAGGCAAAGCTTTCTAAACCGGTTATAATAGGAACCAGATTCACGGTTTTGTATAATCCTTTTCTGTAACCATATTTGTGTGGCAAACTACACCATTCCACACCCAAAACTATTTCTACTCGAATGATCAACAATATTATCCAGCTCCCAAATTCCCCACAGAAGTACTCCCTAATTTCTGGACCTGAAAAACCTTGCTCATATCCCATACAATGTATTTCAAATCCAGGTAATATGGCTGCTTTTCTATACTGTCTCGTATTTAAAAGGCAAATAAAATGAATACTGTAGTCTTGCTAATAGCAATGAATAAAAGTACTTGTGAATTAATAACATTAGAAAGGGGACTGATTTGCCTGTTTGACTTAGAATAATTAGTATACAGTACAGCACAATAACCTACATTGGGTTGCCTATTTTTTGAAGTATTCTTTGGTAACTCTGTAAGTATATAGTAAATGTCTTCTATGTCAATATGAAGTTTAGAATTCAGTTTACACAGATAATGCCAACAATAAAAAATGACTGATGCTATTAATAGTTTTCAGTAATGTAAAAGAAAATATTATTTTTCATATGAAAAGTAATAGTATTAAGGAACAATCAAAGAAAAAATTAAATGTGAAAAATTAACCATAACTAAATTCTCTAAGTGAAATCTTTTTTATTGTGACTATGAAACAGGTACAAAAGCATGTTTTGGTTTAGTCCATGAGCTGCACATAAACATCAATCTCAGTTGATATTATACAGTCACTATGTTCATATAGCACACTATCATTAGGATAATCTGCCAACAGATCTAAAGAGAAACTCTGTTGCCCAGAATACCAATTCCTCTGGTCAGTTCATTAGTCCTCTCCTTGGCCTTCTATAATTAACCTTTTATCACTGGACTATTCTCCAACCTCTTTTAATCAGTGACCAACCCCAATTCCAATTTCTAAGTCTGATGAACTGCAATCAAAATCTAGAAGCCGAGCCTGACAGCTAAGTCTTTTCCCTTACACAATAATGTTGTTAGGAAAAACAAGGTTTATGATTATATTTTTTTCAGCAAAGTGAGTTGGTTTCATCTTATGCAATAACTATCCTAACTCGGCAAGATTATTGCTTTGAGCTCCCAGTTTAGGTTCTGTCATCTCAGATATGCTGCACACATACACAAAAGTAATCACAAAACTATATAATAATAATGATGGAACAGGGAGAACACTATTCACTCCTTGAACAAAAAGAAATATATAAATATAAACAACAAGAACAAAATTGCATTTACCTAGCTCATATACTGCCATAGAAAAAGACGTAATTGTTAAGGCCACTGTTCCTTCAGATACAGGATTGTGTCACTTTTTAACTGTGGTCCAAAGAGTGGGTTCAACTGAGCCAGAATGGCAATCAACCAGCTGCAAAATAAGAGCAGATTTATTAAAGAATTGTCTAAGAAGAAATATTGACAAGGCAGAAATAGAATAAGTCTAACATCTACACAAATACTAACAGAACTATAATTTCAAAAGGAAGGGACTAAAATAATATTAGGATTTACTTAGAAGTCCAGGATATATTTCTTAGAAAATGTCCTTTTCATTTCAAGGAATAGATAATAATCCTATCAATTATCCTTTTGTTAATACTTTTCTTAAAAGGGATAAAATTATATAACTAAAGATGTTTCACATTCAACATCCCAATAACTTTTCCCTACCAAATTTCCAAGTTTTAGATTCTGAATTATATTTTTGTAGGCAAATGACTTCATCGCACATGCTTGGAAAAATTGCTGAAGCACAAAGAAAAGTACAAGAAAAAAGGAAACAAAAGTCTTCCCATCCTGTTCCTGAAAATAGGCAATAAGTATCTCAAGCAGCCACAGAATGCTGAGACAAAAAGCGGAAATAAGAATGCCAGAGGAATTTGAAAAGAATACCACTGAGAAGGGCACAGTTGGCAAGGAGACTC